TCAAACCAATTGCTGCGGGAGTTGTATTTCTTCTTCCGTATTCGAAAGGATCACAAGCAAAGGCCATACAGTATGAGAAAGTCATTGCTCCACATTTTACTGACGCATACTGGAGATGATAGCGTTGTGCCTTGATACCGCTCAAGAATTGACGAAACTGAAGGAATACAAACATAGGCTCAATCTACAATTTGAAAACGATTACCTGCTCGCAATCGGTATTGCGAAGTCCATATCTAGCTACAGGTAGTCCACTGATATAAGTTTCGAGCTCGCGAAGATTCCTTTTATTGTAATGACCTCCACTTTGCTCGGCAAATTCGTCAAACTACAAAATATGAAACTTTTCCGCTTTTCATGGGTCAACAAACCACTTACTAGATTGCGGAAATCATCTAAAGCGCTGTGATATGAGCTGTTGGTATAGTGTTCACTTGCAAGCAGCACTTCAACCATTTCCCAGGTGGAAGCATGCCCGAGAACCTTAAACTTCCTTTTCATCATGACAAATTTCCTGCAATAATTTGAAAAGACTGAAAAGTTTACTACATTAGCAAGAATGTGTAGATCTTTATAGTGTTGGAAAAAAAAAGATTTTGCAAATTATTAGCCAATAGAAAGACTTCATATGAGGTAAAGCATATCTTTTCACTATGATGGGCATTTTATTATACGTTTATATTCTTTATACTATAAGGATGTTAAGAAATTGCTAAATTTCACTTTTTCAGCTATAGCATGCATGTCCCTTAAGCTCAAAAGCTGTGCTGTGGACAATATAACAAATAAATTAGTACTTACAGTGAGTGGAAACAAGTAGAGCAGAAGAAGCATTTTGCAAATTCTGCTTCCTCAGTACTTTCAATCTCTTTTATACCGTACTTGAGCTTACGTGTGCTACAATCTCATTTTCTAGCAATGTAACACAATTTGGGCCCGCTATTCCATAAGATCGCTTTGTATAGAATAACAGCTTAACTATTACTAATTATAAAATGCTTTTAACCTCACTGTGTACATATTTGCTACCCTTTCTGATTATTGTCATCGTTATAAGTGTTTGCTTAGCATGACCAACGATTCATTTCCCTTTAATACTTTAAGGCATTTAATACTAATGATGTTTGCTCAAGTTGAGGTGGCTTATGTGTTTGCTTTCATCATAATTTATAATGTGACTTTACCAAAGGTGGTGGTTACAACTAACGAAAACTGTTTAACCTAAAACTTCTATTTAACTGGAGTTCAAAGTCGTTCTCTGTAGTTTTAAGGCACATTTTGCGGAGCGTTTAGACAGGTGAAAAAAACTAATAAAATTTGGGACAAAGACAACTGCGCTTACCTTGGCAAAAATGAACTATTGAGAAGAGCGAGCATCTTACTACTTGGGCGAAATCGCCTTTCCCCAGAGTGCTATTACGGCATTTCACATTTTTACGATACGAGCTAAGTTCTTCAGCTCAAAGTGGTAATAGAGTGCGAGCTCACGACTACAGGCTTGGATTATCCGTCATAATGCAAAGTCTGATATAATTACGATTAGTTTATTAGAAGCTGCGATGTCTTTAGAAAAATCAAGCAACTGCACTAAACTCCACAAGGATAAGTGACTTATGCAGCATTTTGTTCCTGAGAACTAGAATTATTGATTTTCAAAGTCGAACTTCTGTATAACCACCATGTTTTGGAATTCGTAGCAGCTTAGAATGTTACGAAGACCGAAAAACGCAGCAAAGATTAAAACAAGTGCAATAGTCATGGCCAGCTTTAACAGTTATCCCAATTTTGATAACTTTTCTGCCCTAAC